GGGGGGGGGCGTTCTAAACCGGTCATTATGCAAACCGGTCATCATATCAGAACTCTCTATAATAATATGTCGGGAAATTGTTACTGATAACAAATTATCCAAAATTTTAGGGCCAGTTTTGTTTTCATCTCGAGGGGCCACATTTATGTCGGCAAAAGGGGCACTTGGGTAAATCGGGGGGGGGGGGGGGGGGGGAAGTGCCCCCCTCCCAGCCCCCACCCGGTTCCGCCGCCCCTGGATACAAGGCAGTATAGTAACCCCTCTCCAAACTTTTGCCACTGCTGAAAGGTCTTTAACCCTTCACGCTTGGGAAAACACCTACAGAATTGTCATTGTTAACTTTTGCATAATGATTATGGCGCCTGTCTCACTTTTGTTGAAGGCGAAGTTTTTACGTACGAAGTTAACTTTATTGCTTGATATGGGCGGACCCAAGTTTGGCTCAGGAGTCAGGAGGGTGAAGCGGGCATATGTTTTTCCCCTGTCAATTCCTCCTTTTTCAGTTCCAGCCATATTCGCCACTGCATGCTTGGGGCTTTGTCTCGTGGTTGGGGAAGAAAATAATGTAGGCCCGATGTTATTTTGATCCAGAGAGGAACAAGGATGTTTGTTGCTACATGCTTATGAAAAGTGGTTCACAAAAGTGGTCGGCACATCGAGCATGTAATCGCTACTTTTACACTCATCCCAACATTTTTATTGTCATGTTTACCGGTTTCCCCTATTTTTCAGTGGACATCTGGTTGAATCATCGCGAGCGATTTGCAGCAATCACGTCACTCACCTAGCTCATCTACCGCGTGGGCTCGCGTCGCCTAGCGTGCATTCCCCGGACCAGCCAACGGGGAACCGAGCCCCAGACAACCCATATATCAACCCGGTGCTGGCCTGGCGAATTACGCTCCGCCGTAAATTCACGGTTGGGAGCCCCGAAGTGCCAAACCCAATGCCAACGGGTGATATCTTTTTCTTCTGCCCGTTCAAATTCCACGCGGGCAGAAAAGATATCACCCGTTGGGATTGGGTTCGACGCTGGAATTCCTGATTTCGGGCTATGCTGGTTTCGAAATGAAGGGTTTATTAGGTTTCCTCTCCGTGTGTAGGCTTGGGGGAGGGGCGAAGTTTCGGCGCATATAGGCTTATATCTCAAATCAGTTCAGATTGAATTTCGTTTGAGAATGGAGAAAAAAAATACATAGGCCGTATAGGCTACATGGTTGAGTCTTACAACCGATACAAGGGAGTTATATAGTGCCATGGGCGTCACGGGGGGGGGGGGCAAGGCGGGGGGGGGGGGGCGCTTTCCGGCTCCCACCCGACAAGGAAAAAAGGGGGAAGCAAAAGAGGTGCGAAGTCATATTGTTGTTAATTTAATGCGTTGGGGGGGGGGGGGGGCAAAATAATGTCCGTGCCCACCCTCGAAAAAATGATCAAAAATATAGGGATTTTGGGGAAAAATTGGCTTTGCCCCCCAGAAAAAATGCTGGCGACGCCCATGTATAGTGCTGACTTCAGATGTTAAAAAAGAGTATTGCACATTTTGCGCTTAGTATTCCAGGTATAAGGCCTCTAGAGAAGACACTCTTGGGTAATCGTATTCGTCAGCGCTTCCACTTGCAGTCTGATCTCTCTTTCTTGTTCCCGGAGATAGTTGACTTTCAGCTCAGCTTTAATCCTTTCTTTATCAAATGATAATCTGAGATTCAGTTACTCTTTTTTAGCTTGCTTAGTATGCCAAATATGATTCATATTTTCCAAAACGCGATACGCGCTTTACGTTGTTACCTTTTGATCCCTGGCTGCCCAAAGTATGGATGGGTTTGGCATAGTTAAACACAATTTAAGAAGAAAATAAACGAAAAATAAAGTTTAGAAACAGCTTTTATAATATTTTCATTCTTTAAACTTTGATAAACCTGCAAATGTTTCAATTTTCTCAAATGGATATATCGCGTTTTGAAAATAGACTCTACAACTGTGTATACCAATTAGGCTAAGGCCAAAAAAAAAAATAAGTCGGTCTCTGGTCAGCGCGCGTCGATTTTAACCATGCGCGTCAATCTTTTTTTTTTCCAAAATGTTCCGCGGTAGCTCCAACAGCGCTCTAGTGCCGCACCTCCTCAATTTTTTTTACCAAAGAGCACCAAGGAATGGGAAATTGCACCAAGGCAAATGATCGAGAGCACCAAGGCAAATAATGGAGGACACCAATATACATGAGGATACCAAAAAGCAAAATAGTACCCCACCTTGTCTGTACAATCCAAGCTTGAAGGAAAAAAAAAAGCCGCTTCCCCGCGTCAATTCCAGAACTTTGGTCTGACCAGAGACTGAATATTTTTTTTTTGGCCTAATCCTAACATGCCGTCAAAACGTATCCATATCGGCTTTTCACAATTTGCAAGAAAGGTTGATAATGTTCGGTTACCGGTTGTCCCTCCTTTCCCGACAGTGGCAGAGATACGGGTGTTGGACCCAAATTCCTGCTACCCCCCCCCCCCCCAGCCAAACCTACATCCGCCCTAGGTCTTCATTCGGTTTTTGAAAAATGCAATACCTAAAATACCACATCACACAAGGTCATCCGAAAATCTCTCATATAAGCCAGCCACCTAGTCGCTGTGGACTCCAGACGAGTCGTTAATGTCACTTACCACCTGGCTTTCCTTATTATCCAAGTCGGCAAATCTCCTCGCGCCCCAAGGGACCAATGTCATTACGGGCAAAATTAGTCTGACTTCCTATTTGCCTGTGTTTTCTGCTATTAGGAGGATAAACAAACCATAACGACATAACGAAATCATTCATTGGTCTGTTTTATACATCCGGTGGGTATGCTTGGGTGAAGTCCCGTCACATTTTTCACACAAAAACGTTTGTTCCAGGCCAGGTACATCATTTCCTTAAATGTTGATACTGTCTTTTCTCAGCTATGATGTACGTATGTTCATGTTATTTATTTCCTTGGACATTATTCTTTGTATTTCATTATCTTATTGTGTTTTTTTCTTGTGCGTCCTAAATCGTATTTGGGCCCAATTATTTGGGTTTATCCGTAAAAAAGAAAAAAAAAACCAACACAAAATAATTTGGCATAAAATTGATTCGCCAGCTAAGAACTTGGAAGAAAAGTTTTCCCCCTCTTATTTATTTCTTCCATAGCACCATTAGGCTTGTTCACATTAGGCTTGGATTTGGCATAAAATTGATTCGCCAACTAAGAACTTGGAAGAAAAGTTTTTTCCCTCTTATTTATTTCTTCCATAGCACCATTAGGCTTGTTCACATTAGGCGTGGATTCGGCATCTGGTTATAATCAATTCCATTATAACTTCAAGCTAAGACGTAACTTTAATTTTTGAAATTAACTTGAACCCCCTCCCCCCCCCCACAATCAAACAAACAACCCAACCAACAGATTGACACAAAAGACGTCCATTTTTGCCCAAGAGTTCATGTTATGGGCCTTGTGTCGCAAAGTGCAGAATTCCTTATAAGTCTACAATAATCTGGCTTTTGCTGTAATTTTCAGAAATGAACTATTTGAGGGGTTAGTATAATAGATCATATATTGTTACATGACATATTTGAAGGTTGTGTTCGAAACTGCTGGAAAAACCAAGAAAAACAAAACTGTTCAAGTAGTCTAGTTCCCTGACTCCACTAAATATGAAATGGATCAAATTTACATATGCCGGAAAATTGTAAGGTAAGGGTACCAGTCTAGCTGGCCTGCACCCGTTCACGAACATGTAACCAATAGCAAACAAAATTTGGACTGAATTAATGGTAAATTTGGAGCAGTAGGTGAAAGATAGTAAGGATTTTCCAACGGTGGTCGGCCGACCACCGCTGGAAATTTTTACAAAAATACCATTTTCTTAGAAATGACTGACAGCAGGTGCCATAATTTTATAGGATGCTTAAGACTGTCAGTTTACCAACATCCTAGTAAGGTGTTTTGTAAACACTTGGTAGTTTTATTTTTCGATGTTTGCAAATGTTGTATATTCCTTTTAAATCCTACCGCATTACAATGAAAAGTTGGTTTTTTGATTCCACATTTGGCGTTGAAGATGTACGCATATAAGTCTATATTTTGAAGTTGACAATCATTATGAAATAGCCGTTTGTTAAGTGAGCAAAATGATGTTTTGAACCACTTCCAGCGTTTTAAAATGAGTATTATTGGTCAAGTGAGTGTAGAAATAGCCAGAAAGAGAAAATGCTGGAACATAATCAAATATCCTTTTCAATCAAAAATCCTCAATAAATTTTTTTTTTCCTTTCTGAATGTAATGTTGTCTGTATCGCTGGCGCCGAATTTCAACTAGAAAATGCCTTTGAAAATCCATCAAGGTTGAGCTTAATCTTATTCAAAAATGATAAGATAACACGAGGTTTAAAAATCAAGAAAACGTAATTCAAGGCGAGATTTACTCGGGAACTGGTCTCGGCGCTGCGCAAATTAGCAACGACAGACTTCCCAGATTGCCAAAGGCACCGCGGCCCAAGCAAGGGATTCCTACCGGACGCAAGCGTGACAAGATGGCCGGATTCTCCTCACACGTCGCGGTCGACTCGAGTTTGATGGATTGCACGACAGCGTGGCCGTGTCAGTTGCAGAGTGATATTGGCGTTAACGTTGTTTTCTGTCTGTCTCCGATTGTTACTTATCTCTTTGAGAGATATCGAGTTAACTCCCTGCAATTTGAAATTCCGCATGCCCCTTTTAGCCACAAAGAACTCCACGTTTTGGGAGTTAATAATGACGTCATTTTTTTCTTCAGATGATTGTTTCAACATGAGGAAATCCATTCCCTGCTGACACGCCCCTTGCACAAAGGTCTGCTAATAGACTTCACTAGAATGGACAAAATATGATTGGTGGATACAAGTTGTAGTGCGTACCAGAGCCCACCAATCACAAGCCAATTTTCGCCAAATAGCTACAGCGGGCTTTGTTTTGTTACATATCCCATTACATCCCCACACGTGCACTCGGCAGGATCACTAGGATGAGACATGATCCTCTCATAATTATTCAGAGTTTCTCCTAACAGAAGATTTTGACTACGGTACATTGGCATCGTGTATCATTAATTAGATATCGTCCAACTTTCTGAGAAGCGGATGTGGATACTATTTGACTCATTGTTTTCTTCCAACACTTCATTTTTGCCTGATTTAAACTACTGATACAAGAGGTAAGTTGTCTTTATTTCGTTTGCTTGTTTACGAAATACGTTGTGTTTATTTTGTTTGTAAGTTGTGTTTATTGTTTTGGCTTGTTTACGAAGTTGTGTCTATTTTGTTTGCTTGTTTACGAAATACATAAATTTATATAGGGCTCGCGCCTATTAATAAAGCTTTCCAAAATTGGCTGTTGATCGCTGACTTTGCAAACCTCGATGATGGATAATTTTGTACAGACGTTTAGTTGTTTAATCAAACGATTGAACATGTAGTTCTGTGAGTTCCATGGTTCACCATAGGATTCAGATTTAAAAAAAGGCGCAGAGTTGTTTTTAAAAACTGTCTTTAGACATGAACATTCTTGAAAAGCTGATTTTAACTTTTGTCTCTGCAGTTACACTTACAAAATAATGTTCGGTAATTGAGGGTTTAAAGATATATTTCTAGACTTTTTGTTATCACTTTCATTCTAATTAAAAAGATTAATTACAATTACATATAAAGTAAATGAGAGTAGGCCTAATCGAAAGTTTTACGAAGAGTGAAAGAGTGAGTAAACTCCATTATTCGACTTCAGAGCATGGAGTAGAGCCACTTGTCAAGCGGCTCTGATCTCAACCACTGTGCAGTGTTTTATGATCATGTAATCAACACCTTGCTGAGCTCAATTGAATTAGACGGACGAGATCTGTTTTTTACGAGGTAACAATTGCTCCCGGTGGACCTGTGCGATTTCGAAAATCGAGCTTCTTTCTTTTTCTGTAAAGTTTAGAGAGATGTTAGGCGAATCCTGTCACTCAAGCGTTTTGAGTTATGGCTAATTCTATTTTAGGGTGAATGGGAAACTGAGTCAATGTAAAAAAGTCAGCCTCCTGGTTATGGAGATATTATTCAAGGGGCACTGAGGGCAACATAAATATTGTTTAGGTGCAATTCACGATTTTGAATGGGGGCATGGGAGGGGGTGGACCTCCGCTGGGGGGACGTGCCCCCCCCCCACCCCGTTACGCCACTGCTCCTTAAGAAGAACGTGTAGAGCAGAGTCCCCCAAGCCGAAGTCTGTGACCAAACCATGGTTTCGAGAAAGTCCTGTAAATTCGCCCATCCATGATGCATGTCTTGCTTTGGATCATGGAGCGCAACATATGAGAACAGTAAACCCCATGGGGGGGGGGGGGGGAAGGGGGGGGGGAGGGGGGGGGGAGGGACTTGCATTTTGTCAAGGCTATTTAGAAATTTTCAACCCAGAAACTTCCCCCGCAGCTCACTAGATTCGGGTCCCTCCCGCTGCAGTGTCCCTTTTCGGATATCACGACAAATTGCGTTGTTTTTTCCCCGAGACTGAAGCTTTGTCTTACAGCTAGAAGACAGTAACGAATTCAGCAACAGCTCAAAAACACAATAAGAACAAATATGACAATTGTTTTTGAATTTATTCAAGGGCAGTTTAGTAAAGCCGGTCCCAGGCATGCAACTTTTCCTCGGATCAGCTGATTTCCTCTTTTTTTCACTTCCAATGTGTGCCATTGAAAATAGAAAAACACTGTACAAAGTCTTGGAAAGTGTTGAATTTCCTCTTTTTTGTGACTTCCCAGTTGCATGCCTGCGGTCCACGACCAGTCCTGAAATTAGATCTAGAGCGCACACAATTTTATTTAATTGATTTAGAATGACTATCCATTGTAAGTCTTTTCACGCATCTGGTCCACATGTTGGGCTGGCTTTAGCCCATTCATTGGAATTACTGGAAAATCATATGCAGGATGGTCCAAAATAAAAGGGAATTCACTTTTGACAACAATGTTCACGTACTTTTACAAATTGTTGATTAGTAGTATACTGGCCTTTAAGCATAAGTGACGAACAAATCGTGAAATTGTATAATTTTGTCTCTGAGAAATGGCAGTTAGAACATTTCATGTGCGAAACCTGTTTGTCCACGGAGACATGGAACATTCCATCCGCATGACTTAAAGACAAAATATTAGCACAAGGATATTAGCACAAGGATTGTTAGTTCTACTTCTATTTCGAAAGGGTAACAACCGTGACATTTGATTGTTATGTGATGTCATGCAACAATGAACTTAATAAAAGTCTCAATAAAAGCTACCAGGTCAAACTCAAAGTATTTTTTTGCAAGGTTTCTTATTTTTGTTCGTTCAATTTACATAGAATAACACGTGGACATAACTGATTTTGGTGACTTGTATTCAAATTAGTAAAAAATCACTAAAACTAAGTTTTTCACCATGCATGTTTGAAGGGCTACACTTTAGTCCTATTTTGAACCACCCTACACGACTGCACTGCCCGGTTCTCTTCACCAGCCTACAACTAGTCTGCGTCATACAATCAGTCAGTCAGTCAGTGAGAACAAGAGGACACCAGAATAGCCCTCTGTAGAATGGGATGATCAGTAACAAAAAGTCCTTTCATAAGTCATATATTTGGCATCCTGTGCGACTTTGCTGGCCTTGGCTTGACACACTCCAGACTCATGTACCAGATATTTACAGGTGCTAATATCTTCACATTTGATTTGTACTTATCAGCTGAACATATAAAACAGAGCAACAGACTCGCAAAGGAGAACCAACCAAAGAAAGAGTCTTGGTTTGTCCTTCAGGGTAAATTCTGTGGTACAACCCAAGGTCTTCTTAAATCTTGACTCTCCTTTGTTGGTGTGTGGGTCGGTTGAAATTATGGCCGTAAATCTCTATATTATGTAGTTTTTGTGATAAATCCATCGTTATACAACCTTCGCGAGTTACGGGCTGGTGTTTCAATCTTCGCAGAGAGATAGTGGCGATATTTAAACATTTAGTTATTTCTGGGGAAACTTTTAGCTTTCAGTGGAACATCATTCATGCGAGTGGATGACAAGTGTTGGTTTTCTGAGGAGTATATGTGATGTTCTTATGGTTGGGGGAAGTTTTTGTGAGAATGTAAATGATGTACGGAACGTATTCACATTTCACAAACAAATTGGACAACAATGTCTTCAAGCACAGACCAACGTCTTATCGACCCTTTGGCGGAATATGTTGCGATCTTATTGTTCACAATTGTCAAATTTCTTTTGATTTGAATGGATTAAAATGAGTCATATTTTTTGGTTATATTAATTTTTAGTTATTACTTTTTACCTCATCTATTAATGACTATCTGTCTTGATGAAATGGTGTGCACTGTGTAGATGGTGTTTCACCATTTTTAGTCCAACACCTTCCATTTTGTTCACGACCTAACTGTCACTCTATAACCATATTCAATGTTCTTCTCATTTTGCCCAATGCATGCCAATTCATGATTTCTTCGTTCCTTTGTTTACAGTGGCAGGTTTTTAAGCTCTCTGGGATGATTTCTGATTTATAGCCGACCCTCACTGAAATACTGGCGGGTGGCCTTGTTGGGGTGAATTTTATGGTCGAAACTTGAGAGAAAAACCAAGTGTTTCATTAATTTGCAGAATCTCCAAGCCTGCACTGGCTGAACTAAATATAACTTGGACTTTTTTTGGTTTTATGCAAAGTCTGTATGCACTTTTAGTTTTGAATCATTTGACGATTCCTTTTCAGGTGAAGCCCGGTTCATACTTCATGCGAATGCGAATGCGAAGCGAATTTGACATCATGAAACATTCGCTGCGAAATTCGCCGAGTTGAAATGTGTTCAACATTTACGAATTCACAGCGCGAATACTCCCCACGATGTCACAAATTTGCGTTCGCTTTCGCTTTTGCGCCGAGTATGAACCGGGCTTTAGTCGTTACAAGACGAATGTGCTCTTACGTTGCTTTTGAACCATTCAAAGACTTTTTGTTAAAAAATGTCATTTTTAGTTGATGGGCGTGGTACAAAAAAAGTTCAATTTAATTTTGTTTGTCCTGGTTAAACTCCTGATCGAGCTGAGATGTGCCATCTTGGACAAGATTTAGGACTTATACCTTTGTAAGAGGAGAAATGCGTCTTCAAGACAATAATCTCATTGATTCTGTTCTTCCATCAGGGTTATCCTGAGATTTCTGTAACTGAACTTGATTTCAAGGGGATGAAAGGGAAACTCTGGACAGGATTCTGATTGACAGACACTTTGACGATGGCACGACGGACCAACAGGTTGTGCTTATTGGTTCTCCTAATGCTGGGACTTTCAGCGGGTGAGTAGATGCAGTTAGAATTTAGCATTGTGATGATCTATATTCACCTCGATCGTTGCATCTACCTAGTATATTGGAGGGAAGTATAGGCAAGCCGTACGTCGGACCTACAAGGGTATAGTAATATCGAATTGACCGGCAGTTTGCTAGCTCTGTCGGAGCAACATGGGTCTAGGATGCTCGAGTTTTTTAGGCTCATCATTTTGATCTCTCTTGACCTTTTACTCAAGTCGTGTTTCGTTATTTTTTTAGGGGGTAGGATGGGGGGAGCAGAGGGGTTGTTCCAAAGCTAGAGGTTATTGTTATACTTATGTCTAATGCATCCTTGATCTCATTCCATTTATGTGTAGTCGAATCTGAAGCCGATGACGATTCATGGCTAGGTGACTGGGGACCCACTCATTGGCTGGAGGAGCTATGCCACTGGGTCGGTAGGTAACAATCTAACATATGAACAATCCAATGAGCATTGGTACAGCCGAAAAACAAATCCAACACAGTTTGTAAGCCTATAGACCCTGTGTGCAGTGTTTTGGAGTTAGGCATTGTTTGTAATATTTGTGGGGCTGTATTATGGAACTAAATCTCGGCACGGCAGTTTGGTCAGAACAGAATAGTATAGGAGTATAAGGAATTATCACTCATTACGTCCCGTGATACCAGGGGCCAATTTCGTAGCGCTGCGTAAGCACCGTAAATATGCATAAGCACAAAAAAAACCTTGCTTAATATAATCAGGATACCGGCCAAAACTCCATGCGATGTACATTGCTTGTGACTGGTATTTAGCTTTGTTTACTTAAAATAAAAATCGCATAGAGTTTTGGTGGGTAACCTGATTATATTGAGCAAAGTTTTTTGTGCTTAAGCAAATGTTGTGCTTAAGCAGCTCTATGAAATTTGTGATTGGTTCACTGTCTGTTCAACACGTAAACATGCTTAGTAGTAACATGACATTTCAAGTGTGGGTGCTGTGAATGATCTTTTCTGACCGAGAGATATTAGACAAAAGACATGTTGGCCATTAAAAGTCCTGACGAAACTACACTGCATATGACAAACTGTAGATCTATGTTTTGGTTTTACATATTTATTATTTTTCCCGGCAGGAATGTGTGATGCCGTTTGCTACGGGGATCTCGGCTGTTTCTCCAACGAGTTAGCGTGTCACAGGGACTTCTTCCCCCCGATGCGGCCGGCTGAGATAGGTACGCGTTTCACGCTTCACACGCGCGGTAGTCGCAACGCGCCGGCCCCGTTGAACCGCACCGGCGGTGACGGTGCTCTCTGGCGGTGGGACTTCAGCGCCAAACGGAAGACGATTTTCATCATACACGGATGGGGTGAGACCGACAACAAGGCATGGGTGTTGGAGTTGAGGGACGCGCTACTTGACAAGGTTGGTGGTAGTATTCTTTTAAAAAAAATTCTGATTAAAGCCCGCACACCTGCCCGATTGCGTTTTATATTTGGTCACATGGTGATCACTCATATGATGACCAGTCAAATGATGACAGTCATGTGACTTCCTTCGTGAATCTAATTGGTTAACATAAATATTACGCACAGTGAAATCGGATCCGGTGAAATCAGGTCCGAAAAAAAATTCAACATGTTTGATTTTATCCGGTCGCCCGGCACAAACACGGTCAGATCTGTCCGAATTCTCAGCACACACCTCTGTGCGTTGGCCCGATGATCTGGGGAACCGGTCAAATCGGGAAGGTGTTCGCCGCCGGCTTAACGTTGCAGAATAATCGACAAACATCAGTGGACAGTGGCTTGATGGGGGCGGGGGGGGGGGGGGGTGTTTCGTGTCACGGGATGCACACACCCTTCGTGAGTGTTGTAGTTGAATCCCTCACAAGTCCTCACAATCACAAGTCAATTACAAGTCCTCCAGTGTCAAGTCAAGCCGCAAGATATTAAAATGAAGTATGGCATAAGGATTATATTTATGCACCCTTAAGGTTTATAATTATTCACCCAATGTTGCTAATTGAGACCAGTGGCGCACCCACTTCATTTTATTTTTTGTTGGGGGGGGGGGGTTAAATTTGTTTTTGTAGTCCCACTTTTTGACCGTGGCGTTTGAGTAATATAATAGGGGTGGAAATGCCGCTACCAACGTCAAAATAGTCCCCCCCCCAAAAAAAAAACAACAAAAAAAACAAAACAAAAAAAACCAACCCCAAAACAACCCACCAATTTCTGCGGCCAACAATTTTGAGCGACTTCTAAAAAAACCAAATTTACCAAAAAATTTGAGCCCCCCTCCATATCCTGGGTGTGCCACTGATTGAGACCGAACTTCAGAAAGGATTTGAAATGAATTCGACTACAGTTTTGTTCAACCGTTCAGAATAATTTCTTTCCCTCTAGAAAATGGGACCCTCCGAGTACCCCCACCAGTGGCATAGCCCGGGGGGGGGGGGGGGGGGGGGGGGGGGAAGGGGGGGGGGGCGACGACAGTCCCCCCATGAAACCTTGTCGCCCCCCAGTCGCCCCCACTGAGATTTTGAGTTTCTCAAAATTATCATTGATCTACATGACGCCCCCCATGAAATGTTCCAGCCCCCCAGCGCCCCCCCCCCCCCCCCCCACTGAAAAATTCCTGGCTACGCCACTGCCCCCCACCCTGCACCTTGGAAATACTTTTGTGAGAGAATTTCAGACTATCATTCTAAAATTCTGAAGATGAATAGGGCTAAAGGCAGACATCTCATTGAAGTGCAATTTTTAAAGGCATTTCGGCGTTGCAAAACAGCATGTTTTGACAATATCAGATATTATTTATTTACAACGATTCAATAACACTTGGCACTGTTTCCTGTAAAACTGAAAACAAAGACACAGAAAGTGCGATTATCGTTATAATTATGGGGCGCCAATACAGAAACAAAATGAGCACATGAAATGTTGATTAGCCGTTATCATTTTCAACATTTTCTCATTGTGTATAATGTATCGTCCTAATCATTTTTGTCGTGTATCTGATGACAGGCTGACGCCAATGTGATAACCGTTGACTGGGAGGAAGGCGCCGACGAGCTGAACTACATGAAATCAGTGCAGAACATACGTGTGGTAGGACGCGAGGTCGCCATGACAGTCCAATACCTGTACGCGCAGATGGGTGTGGATCGAGCAATGGTGCATCTTATCGGCCATAGCTTGGGTGCACATGCCGCAGGGTATGCTGGGAAACACTTACGGAACATTGGTCGAATCACTGGTGAGTTTAGGACAGTAAGGCCAAGTACAAAAAAAACGAACCAATTTCTCGACTGTGCTGGCTTCCTTTTTCCACCTTCCTCTCTTGTATTCATACATTTTGCAATATTTTTCAAAATACAGGTTGAGTAAAAAAAACCCAGAAAACCCAAAGGGTGCCCCCATACTTTTAAAAAGATGTTCTGCATGTAGCGTTTTCCAAATCAAGGATATGAAAGCTCAATTAATAACTTTCTTTTAGTGAACGAATCGTTCAGATCGCTCATGTACTTTTCCAGTCATGGAATTTAGAACACCGTTTATGTTAACCTTGTCCACGGATCACAATAAAGGTATGTGATATTTTAGCAAAACAAAAACTATTTATATACCGAAAAAACACATCAGAACACTCTCATAACCATGGTAACTGGCACTTATAACATTTATTTAAAATCTGCTGCTTCCAATGTTTAACTATCATGCTTTACAATGTCAAGAGTTTAAAGTCTTGCCTTGCCTTCTACTTGGCTTCCCGGAGACTTATGGGATTCTTCTGATATCATTTTCAGGATACGACACGGTTTCATTTTAACTGAAATATCCCGTTACATTAATGTAATCTGTGAAGGTTAAAAAACGGTGTTTGTGTTCAAAATTCCATAACTGAAGTACATGAGCGATTACAACGATTCTTTCACTAAACGAAAGCTTATTGATTGGGCTTTCATATCATGGATTTGGAAAACGCTACATGTAGAAATTCTTTTAATTTTTTTTTCAATATGTTGGCTTTTATTTCCAACAATATTGTACTATATAGAAAAAGGTAATGGCTCCTATGAAAACAGGTTTGTATCAGCAAAAGAGTCGGAAAAAAGGAAGAGTCCATTCGCTGGCTCCTTCACTTTTTCAAAAAGCCCGGACGAGACACTATTTTACTTTTCTATTCGGCCATGGAGTATTTTTTTTCGTATGGCGTTTAAATCTCAACCCCTTGCACAAAGCTGATGAAACTCGCTCTATACAATTTGTCATGCCTTGTTTACATGATCTGAACTTAACAGAGATAATAAGGATTAAAAGAATGACTTTTTTTTACACGTACCGGTATATAATAGGTCAACCTGTACATTAAACCTAAAGCCAAATAGCGAAATTTATAGTGAGAATTATTGTATACTCTCCTTCCTACTCTCCTCAGGTTTAGACGCAGCGGGCCCCGGCTTCGAAAATACCGATGCCGGCTGCCGATTGGACCGAAGTGACGCCAAGTTTGTTGACGTCATTCACACAAGCGCCAATAGGCTGCTAGAAGGTGGTGCTGGCATAGAACAAAAGGTATATACAGTGTACTACAAAATCTGGAATTTCGCCAGTTAAGGTACAACGGACATTACAAATAATTATTGGAACCTCCTTGAATTACGCCGGACATTAGAAATAATTATTCGGAACCTCCTTTAATCGTTGAATCAAGATTTTACTTGCTTTTAATCATTCAGAGCCAAAACACTTCTAAGGCTAAAAAAAAGTCTCCGGTTTCTGGTATGCGCGCGCGTCGCCGTAGCCATGCGCGTCGGCAAAATGAAAAAGTTTTTTTTTTCAATGAAAGATGATTTCTCAAAACCGCTGAACTCACTGGTTTGACTGGAATCCTGCTGCTGCAAAATTTTAACGTGTTTTTAGATTGGGTTATGGTCGAGAATAAGCTTTATGTGGCCTCTCTGGACTCCCATATATTTGCGCTAAGTTTAGTCGGGCACCATTTGCAGTGGCATCAGCCGACATTTGAAGCCAAGAAATCAGGGGAAAAAAAAAAAGCCGCGTCGCCGCACCACTTTTGGGCAAGCTCCATACCAGAAACCGGAGACTTTTTTTTGGCCTAATGGTTCACATTTTAAAAGAAACAGTGAGCATTGTGAAATTTTTGTCAGATTTGGATCAAGAGAATCTATACTAAAGCTCGTGCTCCAGAAAAGTATACATATAGGCGTACAGTCATTAAGATAATACCGTACAAACGTTGTCAGTGCATGGCTGAACTTTCCATCGTGAGCGCCGTGCTTCTTGGAGCACAAAACCCGATTGGAATTAAGTGTAGCTTGCTGTCCTTGTATACAACTTTAGCTTGCGTAACGCTGTTAGAGATTCATGTGGCGCAAATGATCAATTTAGTTATGCCCAACACGATATGCATGAGACGGAGGGGTACCCCCCCCTCGTTCTCCCTATACCCTTTGCAAACCCTAGACTATTGTTACCTAACACCTCCCCCTAGATATCTCAAAAGAATTCCTGAGATTCTGGTAACGCAATGACCAACACAAAAGAGGGGGGGGGGGGTGTTTCCCTCCGTACCCCCCCCCCCCATCTCCCTGTACCCTATGCAAACCCTACACTATTGTTACCTAACACCTCCCCCTAGATATCTCAAAAGAATTCCTGAGATTCTGGTAACGCAATGACCAACACAAAAGAGGGGGGGGGTGTTTCCCTCCGTACCCCCCCCCATCTCCCTGTACCCTGTGCATACCCTAGACTATTGTTACCTAACACCTCCCCTAGATATCTCAAAAGAATTCCTGAGATTCTGGTAACGCAATGACCAACACAAAAGGGGGGGGGGGTGTTTCCCTCCGTACCCCCCCATCTCCCTGTACCCTGTGCAAACCCTAGACTATTGTTACCTAACACCTCCCCCTAGATATCTCAAAAGAATTCCTGAGATTCTGGTAACACAATATGACCTGGTAACACAAAAGGGGGGGGGGGGTCCCCTCCGTCCCATATCGCGCTACAGCTGAATTTAGTAAAGCCTATCGTTTGAAAGAAACAAACAACAACGAAAGAGTGGCCTTCGAGACTGGTCTTTTCCTGTGTCCTTATTCATGCTCTTTCGCAAGTGTTTTCGGGTGTCTTTTCTTTGACTCCCCGTACAAAACCGGACCGTGGACTGAGTCCTAAAACTGCCTTCACCATTCAAATGGTGGAAGAGCAATTAGCATGTGTAAAAGTGGCAGCTGTTTTGAAGACTCATTAAGTTACGAAGTTGTTTATTCCATCGGGGGTGGGGGTGGGGGAGGTTTGGAGGTGTATGGCTGGGTGGTTGACCGTATCCCTTTACTTTCCTTTATCGTAGATAGGACACGTAGATTTCTACCCCAACGGAGGCCGGAGCCAACCCGGCTGCAAATGGTGGATGCTCGGTTGCAATCACGCGAGATCTCACGCCTACTTCACCCAGAGCCTGCGAGATTCCTGCCGGTTTCCCGCCGTGCCGTGCGAGACTCTGAGCGACTTCCGGTCGGGCAAGTGCCGGTCGTGCGGCCGTAGAGGGTGCCCTTCCATGGGGTACGAGGCGGTCCGAAACCGCGGCAGCCAGGGCAGCTACTACCTGAAAACTCTGGGAAGGAGTCCGTACTGTAACCCCAAGAAGTCTCGTTTCCGGGACAAGTTTCTCAGGCAGGGGTCGACAAATGACGTCATCACGACAAGAAAAAGAAAACTAGGTCTGACGAAGAAAAAACGCCAACAAGTGCACGGTTAATCGAGACATTGTAAACGTACACATCTAGGTATATGAACGAGATTTAAGGCCAAGGAATGTTCGTGCTTTAATATAAGTTCAACATTGTTACCCAAGACTCAACAATCCTGCACGTTGTATCGGATACACAGACACGTTTTTGCTACAAGTTGTTGGGATATACAATAATTTGGTCATAGGCTGTATTCGATCATGTTGATGTGACATAATTTAGGTCTTGTATAAAACAAAAGAACGAATGTTTCATATTTCGTGCAATGGAAAGAACAATTTAATACGGTGACAGGCATGTTCCAATCCACTCAGCTTCGCCTCGTGTAAAGGAATGGAAAATGCCAATCTGTCATTTTATGAAATTATTCTTACTATCACACTCATAAACATATCTTATTATTTTGTAAATTGGCTTGTTATTTCTCATAAAGTGGATTTTTTTGAAGAACACTTGAAGAACATGCGTGACGATCGCGGGGGGGGGGGGGGGGGAGTGGTCGCGGGAGGGGGAGTGGTCATGGGCGCCCGCCTCCAATTCTTTTTGTTTTGTTGCAGGAGTAGGCCTTCAGTTGATATGTATACAACTTGTGGTGCATACAACTGTATTTTTAAACGAAACATGATACAATAAATCACGGTTACTGCAACCTACACTCGACTTGGATCTTTTAAATGAAGCAAGTTGTCTTCACATGGTGCTACCGCAACAATTTATCTTATAGCCTCCATTAGTTAGAATTCACCTTACTGTCATGTCATCAGGAGTCATCGGGAAAGTAAGACTTACACCAGGGCGTTCGATTAGCCATCACGTGATACTCTTGCCTGCATTAGTGTCAACCACCACTGTCTCTAGCGCGAGCGGGTCACTGCCCGAGTGTGACCTTAATTTTCCCCAGAATGCCCGTCGAAAAACATGGCACCCAATAGACACATTTCGTGACTTCGGATTTCCTGGAGTGGGCCCCTTGAATTGACGGGAAAGCTTATCGAATGACGCCTGGGTAAACCAGTCCTACCCTATAGTCAACTGGCTTAATTCGATCCATTTTTATGCATGCAGTATGCAAGAATAGGTGCTTATAATGCACGGCGCGGCTACCATTTTGGATTTATGCAAATAAGGTATACCATTCCACTACAATTGCCAGGTGTCACCCTTCTTAAAACATGCTTTGCATGGCCCATAGAGACTATATTCCGAATTTGGTGCTTAGGACCAGTCGGTCACGATTCCACCCATAAGCCATCTGATTACCCAGGAACTTGACGAGTGGCGAGGATTCACTGAAATCTACAAATCGCTCTTACCGGATTTCTTCCATATTTGCAACAGTGTAGGACACGAATGTGGAAAGTCCATCTGAGAGCCCCACTATTTCCGAAGGTAGCTTCGAGTTGACGCTGAATTTCGCTCAATAAATTAGGCCTAACTTAATCTAAAGGTTTTCGCAGCAATTTTAAAATGTTTATGATTCGAATTCACCGTTTGTAACATTTAAATTCGTCAATCAGACATCGATTTGGCGCACTTCCAATGTTTAATTTCATCTTTTGTCAGACAATTTCAAATTCATGAAAATTCAAACAATGAGCACACGTTTTCGTCCCGGAGTATTCAATTTCGTCTCGTCTACGCCCAATTCAAAATCGTGTTATTCAGAAATCTAATTCGTCCAACTGATTTGTTTCAGACGAATTCGATCTCTGAATGCTGCTTAGACAGCTTAGAAAACAGCTTAGACGAATTTGATCTGTAGTGTAATGACGAATATTCTCGACCCAGTGACTAAAGAGGGTGACCAAAGTTTGAAATTGAATGGTAAATGACCAAATAGGTTTGGTTAAATGCGTGTGGATTTTTTTCTCGGAAATTGAATGTTAGAGTTGGTGAATTAAATGATTTTTATGTAGCTGGGAAAACCTATTTTAAAATTTAAAAGTATAGCTTGTATTTAGAACAGCATTTTATATTTATGTGGGGTCATTCCATTTTTTCTCTCCAAAAGATTCTTCCATTTTGTCGTGGGTTTTGGTTTCAGATGGCGTTTCGTCTAGTTATGATTTTGCTCGTTGCCATGGTAACTCTGGATTCCGTGTGCAGTGATTTCACCAAGCTTTGCCCTGAGTTTCCTGGTAAGAAAAAGCATTATCAGCAAGAAATAAAAATATTTTTAAATTTCTAAAGGAGGAGTTGAGGTGAGAGTGTCCCTTAACAAGATGCAATCACATTTTTCTCTCGAATTTGAAGTTTATACTGTATTTTCAAAACCCCATAAGATGGCTATACTGAGTGCATTGTTGCCGGGGTGCGTAATGTGTATTCCCAGGACGGTTGGGGCCAAGTCATGAATAATTCAGTAGTTTCGATCGGGCCAGTATGTTTATTCATGAGAACAGAACAATGGTATCAAGAGCAATGTTGTTATTTAGTCAACCAGTTACATTCAATTCAAGTACGGTTGTGGTCAAGTTAAACATAGTGGATAGCGAGATAAGCTACGGATGCAAAGATCCCTGGTTCGAACCACGTCGTAGCTGCTCTTTTCATCGAATGTTTCCTTCTCTCAATTTATTGTTGAAATATATTTAATTTGAGGAAAAAACGAGAACGCGGCATTATTTTACCCCGAGGTGGCGCTGTTGAATGAAAAAAGACACTTGAGACACAAGGTGGCGCTGGGTAGAAAACACTGGAAGCTGGTTACTGTAGATGGGTGCAACCCTGCAATAAAAATCTCATAGACACTAGTGCTAAATGTGCATACCTAAAAATTCTTGTAAAAATACTCGGCACTCTCACAGCTATTCAAGCTGCACAGAGAAATGATGATCAACATGTCATCTTTCAGTTTCTTTTCATTTTTTGGTGGGTTGACCATTGACTTTTCGAGATATTCTCACCCAAAGAAGACGACCCCTATTTTCCCCAAAGCGGAAAAGTAGCCATCTTCAAAAACGATCCCTCCAAAACATGGCAACTTTCGAGTCCAATAACATCCAAAATGCTCAGAATTGGAAGCCCCAGGTCCAGGCCAGAGATTCATTGCCATATCTCTTCAATTCCCCAATTTGATGGCTCTCAAAACTCTCTAATATAGAATATTTTGAGGGTATAACTTTTATTCATGAGCTCGGCGGACGGATTTTTGGCCTATTTACAGGCATGCACCCAGATGGTTGCAGACCAGAAAATTAACTGCCATAGGCCTCGGTGATAAAATACCCCCACTTTTCAATCAGGAAATAAAAAAACTCTGAAAGTGATTGAGACACTCATAAAAAATAGAGCTTATTTCAGTTTTAAGGGTGTTTTGGGGAGAACTCCACCCAAAGAGGATCACCCCTAAAAAAAGTAGTCCTGAAGCCCATCGCAATTTTGAAAAATGATGTTCCTACGTTCCATGGCAAAATGAAGCTAAGTTTTTTAGGGCCTAATTTCATCCAAATTTCCCATTCACTGTTGCAGTCCTGATTATTCTTATATCAGGTCAATATACAGCTACAAGCAAGGCTCTTCAGAACAATATCCTCTTTTTTGTTTTTGTCTTTCTGCAGGAAGTAGACTTTTCTTAACCCCTTGGTATTACCCGGACTTGGCGTCAGCCCGGACACGCTGCGATGGATGTGGCATGAAGCTCTGCTCACTCGAGCAGCTGAAAACAGGCCTATAACTTATATGTCTTATGTCTTGTATAAGTTTTAGTTTATTCTTACATTTTAACCTTTTCATCCCACCACCAGAAACAAATAAATCCTGTCGGTCCAAGCTTCATATCAGCGTCTGACTCATCGGTATCTGTGAACATAAACATAACAAATCACCCTATATTAACAAAAAAAAAAAACACTTTATTTTGAGTATCCGATGATTACTATGATATAGAATAGGCGTGGCAAGCGGGGGGTAAGGGGGGGGGGGGGTATTTACCCCCCCCCCAATATTTTGTAAAGACTGCCCTTTTCTATTCAAATGAGTGCCCTTTTTTCACCCGCACTTACCCCCCAATATTTTGTAAAGAGTGCCCTTTTTTAACAAGTGCCCTTTTAAAAAGTATGCGGTTGCCTTTTTGGTGCCATTGGCCGTTGCGGTGCCTTTTTTGTTAAATTCCCGCATGTATCTCCGTTAGAAGCACCATATATTGTCCGTTAGTGTGCATAATCGTCGGTTTTGAACAGCGCCACCTTCGACAGATGGTACAAGCTTTCCCCCCCCACACTATTTGATTTTACGGAGGCCAATTGTCCGGGGAAAAAAAAACGTGTCTACATTTCAGCACGGATGTGCAAGTGCCCTTTTCAAAAAAAAAATACCCCCAATAAAAATGACCGTGCTACGCCACTCTATAGGGCCTACACAACTTTGCTTGGCCAAAATGCAGGCTTAGTTTTACCTTTTCTTTTGACTTTAAATTCTTTAAGGGTTTTTATACTCTGTGAAACTGATTCCAAACTGTGGTCGCAGGGGCGGATCCAGGAATTTTCGCTGCGGGGGGGGGGGGGGGGGGGAGGGGGGGGGGTTCATCATCAAAACATTCTGAAATGTAGTCAGGTGTTATTCTCCGGACACTTGGCCTCCGAAAGTTATTCTCCGGACACTTGGCCTCCGAAAATCAATAGGTGTGTGGGGGTGTGAGTTTGTGTTACATACCCTATGTGGACTTGTGAACAAAAGAGGTCCACATAATGCAGGTTGTGTTAACCTTATGTGGACTAAGCCGTGTCCACATAAGGTTTTGCCCTTTCTGGAAAACAGGTTTAGAGGCATTTTTGGGTTAGGTTTATTTGTAGCAGAATGAAGAGAAACACTATAGGGAATCATAGAAACAAAAGTGGGTTAAAAGAGTTTTCACAGTTTAAATAAAGTTATTTTTTGTACCGAGTTTTCTTAACTACACGAAAACAAAGCAATGTCCACACTAGGTATGTAATGTAAGTCTGGGTGTGCGTGTGTGGGTGGGTGTGAGCTTGTCTTACATACGCAGTGTGGACTTCCGAACAAAAGACGTCCACATAATGTAGGTAGCAGCGACGAAGTGTGGACTTGCCCACGTCCACACAGTGTTTCCCCATTTCTGGAAAACAGGTTTAGAGGCATTTTTGGGTTAGGTTTATCTGTAGCAGAATGAAGAGAAACACTAAAGGGAATCATTGAAAAAAAAATTGGGTTGTAAGAGTTTTCACAGTTTGAGAAAAATGAGTTTTTCCACTGGTGTTCCTTAACTACACGAAAAGAAAGGAAAGTCCACACTAGGTATGTGAAACAAGTCTGGGTCTGTGGGTGTGTGTGTGTGTTGTGTGGGGGGGGGGGGGGGGGGGGGTTAGGGTTAGGTTTAGGGTTAATATACCCCCTCTGGATCCGCACCTGGGTCGATGAGTGGTATTCTGTGAAAACGATCTTCAAATCCAAATTTGAGAGCATGTTGGCGAGCAAGGTTTTTTTTTTGATTTAGAAAACTTAAGACTTAAAAAAAAAGACGTTCCGTAATCCATTTGGTTTATGGAGGTCGTCTTAAAGTCAAACTGTTTGGCCAAGGTGAGTCTTAAGCACGCTTAACTACAAGTGACATTCAGTTAGCGAGTCAGTGAGCCAGTTAAGCCCGGCGCACACCTGTCCGTTTTTTGCCGGTTCACCGGATCTTCGGGTCATCGTACAGAGGTGTGCGCTAAAAATTTGGACCGATCCGACCCTACATCGGGCGACTGGATGAATTTTTTCGCATCCGATTTCACCGGATCCGATTTCACAGGACGCAATATTTATGTTAACCAATCAGATTTTACGAAGGAAGTCACATGGTTGTCTTCATGTGACTGGTCATCATGTGACCGATTTTTGGACGGAATCGGGCATGTGTGCTGGTAACGTTGTGGTCTAACCTCCGGTGAAAAACAATATAGGCCTACCGGTGATGCGGTGATCCGGAAACCGGTAAAATCGGGAAAGTGTGCGCCGGGCTTTATAGTCAATAAGATAAATAGAAAGTAGGCCGAGCTTTCCGGATCAGCCAAAATCACGATATTACTATGTGGAAGACATGCACTTACGGTTTTTTTTTGTTGGCGGCCATCGACGCACTTTATGCAGACGGCGTGTTTAACCACGATTATAGTGTCTACCGCAGAAGCCATTATGCTTGCAAACAAGGGGGTAAGGGCAACTATGTGGTTTCCACGGATGACACGCTAAAATGGAAAAAAGAGAAATGGAAACAACAGTCATCTCAATAATTAAAGTACGCAGAGTTGTAAAGAGTCACTGATTTTTGTGACTCAGTCGAGTCGAGTCATTTTAAAGAAGTGACTCGAGTCGAGTCGAGTCATTAGGTCAAGAAGGTCGAGTCGAGTCGAGTCACAGTGTGTAGTCAAGTCGAGTCGAGTCGACCCAAAAATTAAGCTCGAGTCAATTCGAGGCAAGAAATATTTGAACACTATAATTACAAATAAAGACAAGAGAGAATTTGTATCACTAACAGTCAACAAGAAGTGAAACTTCGGTCTGATCTGGTTTGGCTTTGGGTCTAGAATTGTTTTCCTTTTATGAAAGGTCTGACCCAAATCATGAAATCCAGAATGTTTTAAATTTATTTTCGAGCCAACAGCAGACAAAACAATACCAAAACAAAACCCAGCTGGAATAATTCAATAGGTCTCAAGAGAGAGCATGTGCATGTGCACAAAGATTAAGAAATCAATTTCAGGGGGCCTAAATCCTCAAAATAAAAACAAACACTAAATGTGAGTCTTGGATTTGTAAAAATTGTGTGTAAAGCTATATACCAGTTTGTTAGGCCTAGGGCCCATAGCCACTCTAAACAAAACTAACCCCAAAAAAGCTAATAAATAAAGAAAATCTGGGGCAACTCGGTCAGGGGGCGACTTGACACAATCATCTCCAGACATGCTTTTTCTTCATCGTTTTCGCCCGATAAATCCCCATGAATATCCGAATTATTCATTATTCACCCAAACACATCAGCTACAGAAAGTCTACCTTTATACCTGCTACTGAAAACCAGAAGTGGAAAAATCCTCAATTTTGAGCAAAAAAAAAAAAAAAATCAAGGAACATGACGGGGAAAAAAAGGTTGCAATCTGACGCCACTTTTTTTTCATTTCAAATAGTTCGAAGTATTTCAACTAAAGGGCTGCAAGCTGAAAACAGGAACAATTCTGCGATTTTACTGTGATGAGCATCGCTACCTAGTTTTACGAAAAACATAAATGAACCAAAACCAACAACATACCACCTGGAAAAACCCGCGGTCATTTCACAAAACATTCAAACAAGGAATAGTATGGCCAGGAACTGCTTAATGAAACAAAGACCAGCGAAAATGGCGGCAACGGTATCTTACCTTGACGGGACTCAAGATCGTCAGTTTTCGCATCATATTGCCGTGGAGACTCTGAAATAAAATGAAAAGGCTATCTCTTGTGACTGACGGAGGCAACATGCTACTTTCAATACCGTGATTATGAAACAATCAAAGAAAACCCGATCTAGCTGCATCAATGCCAATTCTATTTACTTCGGTTTTGTTTTGTTTTTACAAATTACCTTCCATGGCTGCGTCTCCGAAGACGACACCCAGGCACACCAGAAGAACCAAGCAGGTAAAAGCCTTCATCTTGACTCTAATTGTCAAAGGAAATAAAAACCAAGACGATTAAGCAGCATGGTTTGGCCACAACCTTCACAAATCACAAAAAAATACATTAAAGCGCAGGCACTATACAAAAAGAGAAGGCATCGGAAGTACTAAACATTTCGCCCAAACCTTCTCTTTTAAACACGAATGGTATGAAACCAAGAAGAGCTTGAAGCAAGTCGTGTGTGTATTCGAGTATCGTGAAGAAACGAAGAAAATTTGTGAAATTATCAATATAAGTAATGATAGCTTTAATGTAAACCTAAGGAGGAAAGGTATGGCACAGTGTTCCATGCTATCAAATCTACCCTACCTGATGGTCCGAACTGCAACAGACGATTGTTTTAAGCAGACAATTTGCTGAAATGTGGATCATCAAACAAACTTGGGTTTCTCACCAGAATGCTACGTTGGGCGATGATAATGCATAATCAATGGTTTGCTTTTTAAAACACATCTTAAGGCCAAAAAAAAATAAGTCGGTCTCTGGTCTGCGCGCGGGTCGATTTAAATCATGCGCGTCAATCTTTTTCTTTTTTTTCTAAAATGTTCCGCGGTAGCTCCAACAGCGCCCTCTATTGCCGCACCTCCTCATTTTTTTTTTACCAAAGAGCACCAAGGAATGGGAAATTGCACCAAGGCAAATGATCGAGAGCACCAAGGCAAATTATGGAGGACAACAATGTACATGAGGAAACCAAAAAAGCAACATAGTACCCCACCTTGTCTGTACAATCCAAGCTTGAAGAAAAAAAAAAGCCGCGTCCCCGCGTCAATTCAGGAACTTTGGTCTGACCAGAGACCGAATTTTTTTTTTTTGGCCTAAAAGTCAGAGGTGTTTAAAAATCGAATAACACTTACATCACGCTGTTCTTGAGACCACGTCGGTTTGGAAGAGGAAAAATATATGTGGCTTTTCAGTTGTCGACGGTCGGAATATTGGAAAGCGGACGAATCCGCGGCTTTTATAAGTCGAGGCGGCACTGAACAGTGGCGTGACTGGGGGGGGGGGAGCCAAAGTAACGATGGCTCAAATGTTATGATAAAAGTATCATCTACTTGTAAAACTAATAATATGTCCAATTCTGGGCTATCACATAACTGACTTGCATGTCATGTTATCCTTGATAATGAAATATGGAATGAAACTGCAAACTGATAACAGAAACAATGAATGATATATTGCCCTGGCGTGAGGTATGCCTTTGCCGTATAGTAGCTTTTCACCAAAGTTGCCCACAGTGGCGTATGCAGGATTTTGTCAACGGACTTTAAACTTTTCGTGCCGCAGGGGGGGGGGAGGGAGGGGTGTAGGTGGGGGGATTACCATTACCGAAATGTAGAAATGTTTTTTTCTCCGGACACTTGCCCTCCCTAAAAAACTCATTATTATGCATAATGCAAATTATATGCCCATTTTCAAGGCGCTTTGTAATGGTTGTATGAGCGGGTTTTATTTTGTGGATTGATGTCAGAACTCTCTTACCATTTTATTAAAATAATTGCTGAAAATAATACGTGTCAAAAAATCCGCCGGGGAGGGGGGTGGGGGTGGGGGAAGTGTCCCCCTGCCCCCTGGATAGCGACAGCTCTCAGTGGTTTTGTACACGATTTGAGATCATGGACGTTCGGTCAATCGTGGACGTATTGTTTGCGCCCACATTCTTTTGTCCTTCGTCCACGATTGCCGGTGTTTACACACGTACCCACACACACGCTTACATAGGCATAGAAGTGGGGTAATTCCTTTGTTCTCGTGTACTAAAATTTTGAAACGTCGCACACTTGTGTCAAAATGCTCTTATTTAACCATAGTTAATTTCCTGGGCTGAAATTCGGACTTAATATCCCTTTTCTAAAACTCTTCCATTTGCGACAGATCAACCCACCTTCGAAATTCCTAGTTTTTGAGTAAAATCCATATATCTATTTCTTGAAAAACTTGGCAAGTCGGTGGGCATTCCTTGTGGGGTACCTCCCATAGTTCCGGTACCCCACAAGGCAGTGTTTGTACACGCACACACCCACACGTACGGCAGCACAGCTTCGTCTAGCTACGCCCGTACAGACAAACGTATATATGTGCTATACTTCTTGGGGGCTATGGTGCCATATATGCTGTTAAAAGTAGTGCCGGAAAACAAAACGTATACATTGTAATGGCAATGACAACGTAATATATCACCAAAGCAACCATTCTGTTGTCATATTCAGTTTCATATTCAAATATAGGGCCCCCGTGAAAACCCCAGTGAAAAAAAATATCTGTTACCATTTAATGGGCCATAACCCTTTACTTGGCTTGTCACTATTATTTTTCTGGCTGCGAATAGGTCAGTATGCAGTGCGCATGCCGAGCGTATTCAGGACGCACTCGACTTATGCCGACCGCATGCTTGACGCACTTCTGAGCGTATTCCCGCCGCATTTCCGCCGCTCGCCGTTCAGCGTGCGTTGCATCTGCGCTGCAAGTTAGTGTTCGTGACGCACCCCGTCAGCATATGAGCCGCATGTATTGGACGTATACATAGCGTACTTGCAGCGCAGATGCAACGCACGCTGAACGGCGAGCGGCGCAAATGCGGCGGGAATACGCTCAGAAGTGCGTCAAGCATGCGGTCGGCATAAGTCGGGTGCGTCCGGAATACGCTCGGCATGCGCACTGCATACTGACCTATTCGCAGCCAGAAAAAATTAGTCCCCTTACCAGTATGTTTCAACCAGTATGTTTTTCAACAATAATTACGCCAGTTACTTTTTTGGATAGCTGCAATTGATGGACTCCGGCTTTAATAATACAATAGTATATACCTTTCTACGCTCTGTTGGCAAACTGCACATTTTGCCAACCATGCGTTGCAAACTACGTATAAGGAAGGTCCAACACTGAAATGAATTACAGATCACCAAAATATTATTTGATAATTGGAAATACAACATTGTCAACAAACATACAACATAATTTCTGCACATGCCTTTTTACTGTGTCGTCATTTTGGACCCACTTTTTTGGACCCACCCCCGCCAAAAAAAAGGGGTTCTAGATCCGCCCTTGCTCGGAACCTGAACTACTTAACTTCTCTACCTGATGTGACGGGAATATAATCGACGATTATTTGCGCTTCGCACGTACCGTAGAAGATCGGGAGTTGATGAATAGTGGTTACATATTAAAGGTGAATTCGATAACCCTTGCAATCATACAAACTAACGTTGGGGGGGGGGGGGGTCAGTCAAGTTCGTGCTTCAAGCGGCAGGGGGCCGCGCTATAGGTTCATAATAGCGTCACTAGATAATGCCTGGACAAGAAAACCCTTCTTTAAAAAATAAAACAAGACTTTTTGTATAACATAAACTGATGTGTTGTCTGCTAAAAATGTGCGTGCTCTGGTAACTTCCAGCCATCTGGAAGTATATTCGGTAACGGAATATAGTCTACACATTCCAGGGAAATTGATGCAACACAAACTCTGGTGTTTACTTTGAAGATTATTTAATGTCCCAATTGACACACGGCTAATTTGACTGATTCGCAGACAACCTTCTCACATTCGTTTTCGAAATTGCAAATCATTTTTTGGGATATTAATTTTTTTTTTATCTCAACAAGTTTGAGCAATATAATACCACTTTAAAGGTATCGATTTGAAGTTATAAAACCTATAAATAATGACTGTTGTTTATTTCCGTCGTTACCGAGTGAAATGATGCAGCAGCATTATCGTACCAATTACAACTGCCATAATTTATAGCGTCTATAATTTAGTTTTGCTTCCGTTTGAATTGATCATGTTCATAAATAAAAGGCCTTCTGAAATTACAATATGCCAACTGCTGTCACCGAGTAGAGACTAGACCTACATTGTTGCAGTTCTCATTTAATTGACATGCCAGCAGAAATCGCAAAATCATGTAGACAAATACCACTTTCCAAGTTATGTAAAACAAAATAAAATCTATGAATTCCATAAATTATGGACTAACTGGCTGACTGACTGGCTCCCCGACTGACGGACTGACTCCCCGACTCCCCAACTGACTGACTGACTGACCGACTGACCGACTGACTGACCGACTGACCGACTCCCCGACTGACCGACTGACCGACTGACCGACTGACTGACTGACTGACTGTCACTTGTTAATCAAACTTCCTTAAGACTCACCTTGGCCAAACATTTTGACTCAGACGACCACCTAGACCCTTTAGGCCAAAAAAAAAAGTCTCCGGTTTCTGGTATTGAGCTTGCCCAAAAAGTGGTGCGGCGACGCGGTTTTTTTTTTTTTTTTACCTGACTTTTTTGCTTCAAATGTCGGCTGATGACTGCAAATGGTGCCCGACTAAACTTAGTGCAAATATATTGGAGTCCAGAGAGGCCACATAAAGCTTATTCTCGACCATAACCCCATCTAAAAACACGTTTATTGTGCAGCAGCAGGATTCCAGTCAAACCAGTGAGTTTGGCGGTTTTGAGACATCATCTTTCATTGAAAAAAAAAACTTTTTCATTTTGCCGACGCGCATGGCTACGGCGACGCGCGCGCATACCAGAAACCGGAGACTTTTTTTTTTTTTGCCTTAAACCAAATGGATCAGGGAGTTATTTTCCATTTGAGAAATCCTCCAAGCGAACGATTCAGGAGTTCACCCCAGAATAAAAATTCCTAAAGACACCAATGACAAATGCCCATACTTCAAATTTTTTATACTCTCACAAGTGTTTAGGCTGCACAGAGCCATGATGATCAAAATATCATCTTTCATTTTCATTTCAATTTTTGGTGGGTTGACCGATGACTTTTCCAGAAATTCTCACCTCCCAAAAAAGACAACCCCTTAAACTAGTGATGTGATCCAAAGTGGAACAGTCTAGCCATCTTGGAAAAAAGATGCTTTCAGTTGGATGAAAAACAATAAACGGAGAGCTGGATAGTGTTTATTCAAAATTTCGGGAACAAATCCCCGGATTGCCTTAAAGCATAGTATCATCGACCCTGTTAACAGAATGACCATTCTTATAAGTTTCGCTAGATCAGACTAAGACCCATTGGCGCCATGCAAAGTGGGGTCAATTTTGCATTTAATCCAAATTTTGAGAAAAAGAACGAAACCAGTATCATTTGATAGCTTGGAACTTGTGGACTTTGGAAATATAACTTAAGAATGATTTTAGATCAGACTTATTAGGCACGAAAAGCGCAGGAGTGGGCGTGGCCGTCACCCGCTTCTTTTTATTTTCGCTGATACCGTTGCAACGCAACAGTAGAGGAGAAAATGAAACCAGTTTGTATTGATGCCTTAACACTCATGGAATATAGAAATATAACTTAAGAGTGGTTTTAGGTCAGATTACTTAAGAGTGGCGGGAAAAGCACGGAGGGGGCGGGACCTCAACCCCCTACCACGTCGCAAGGCATTTGTTAAATCCTGCCAAGTTTCTTTCACAGGTGTTCTGCTGTCTTGCAGTAATTGTGACATGTCAGTGCCGATTAACAGATTGAATTGAAATTGTGCAAATGTACTACAAAATTGAAATTGGGAAAATGAAACCATTTTTATTGATGCCCTGGCACGGGGAGTCAGTCAGCTAGTCAGCCAGTCAGCTGGGGAGTCGGGGAGCCAGTCAGTCAGCCAGTTAGTCCATAATTTATGGAATTCATAGATTTTATTTTGTTTTACATAACTTGGAAAGTGGTATTTGTCTACATGATTTTGCGATTTCTGCTGGCATGTCAATTAAATGAGAACTGCAACAATGTAGGTCTAGTCTCTAACCGGTGACAGCAGTTGGCATATTGTAATTTCAGTAGGCCTTTTATTTATGAACATGATCAATTCAAACGGAAGCAAAACTAAATTATAGACGCTATAAATAATGGCAGTTGTAATTGGTAAGATAATGCTGCTGCATCATTTCACTCGGTAACGA